TCGGGGCTGGTGGAGGCCAGACAGGAGAACCTAGAGCTGACCACTGCCCTGCCTGTTTCCAGAGGGACGCTCCCCTCAAGTAGCCCAGGTGGGACTCTTCCGTCTGCCTTCTCCGGGGGACCTGCACAGGGAGCCTCTAGGGACCGAAGATGACTGCTGGGGTCCCCTGGGGCCTGTGGCCACTGAGGTGGTTGACGAAGACAGAAGCCTATACCAGTGAGCGGGGGATTCTGCTGTCCCAGGCTGGCCTCCTATCCTCACTCCTGCTCCGCACGGCCGGCAGCACCACACCACGGCCCTGGGGCCCTTCCCCCTCCAAGCCCACAGGCAAAGGCCGAGGCTGAGATCCTGAGTCAGTGCTTCTATTACGGAAAAGGAGGTTGTATTGTGAAAATTTTCAACCATGAACCAAAACGGGGTCCAAGGAACTTCCACGTACCCATCACCCAGGTTCAACAGCCGTCTTGCCAAATTTATTCCGTTTTCTCATCTTCTGTTGTTAGAGCATTTCAAATATTTTATTTATTTATTTATTTATTTGAGAGAGCGCGAGTTGGAGGGTGGGCAGGAGCAGAGGGAGAAGCAGACTCCCCGCGGAGCAGGGAGCCCGACACGGGGCTCGATCCCAGGACCTCGAGATCACGACCTGAGCCGAAGGCAGACGCTTAACGACTGAGCCACCCAGGCGCCCCTGTGACAGCATTTCAAATCCAGGATATCGGGTGATTTTACCCCTAAATATTTTGTGATGCATTTCAAAGGCGTTTTTCTTCAATAAGCACGATAACCATTGGCAGGTGTAACATTTACAACAAGTCTTTCCGATCAGCTCCGACCCAGTCTGTCTTCAGAGGTGCCCCCTTGTCCTGGTTTATTACTACCCACCACGTGCAGCCCCGGTCTCTGTGCTCAGAATTGTGGTCTCGTCCACAGCACATCGCCACACACCTCCTCTCAGCTGAGAGATGGTTTCCCTCCCACCGCGCCCCTGCAGACGCTGCCCACCCACGACCCCATACTCAGGGCCTGGGGAACCTCGGGAACGAGACCCCTGCAGAGTTGTTTTTATCCCCAAGGGTGTGTCATTAGCATTATTGTGCAGATGGATTAACTGCTGGCAAATAGGCCTTTAAAAAACAAGAACGCTTTCCTGCTTCATCATCATCATCATGATAGAAACATCACCGCCCCCAGGCTCACCTTAACCCGTCCTCGGGCGCCTGGTCCCTCAGCACTCCCACCTCCGAGGTGGGTGCACCTTGCCTCCCCACAGATCAGGGAAGCTCAGTGACGTGCCCAGGGGCCCATAGGCCGAGGGCGAAGGAGCCGGGACTCACCCAAGGCCTGCGGACTGCGGCATCTGGGTCCGCGGTGCCCCGCACGGGGTCTGCTGAGTTGGCGTAGAGTAATTCTGTGTCCCCCCTCTCCCTGTTCCCCTCCCCAGAGTTCGCTTGCCCGCGGCTGGCTCCTACCACTGGCCCAACATGGGTCTCCGCTCTGTGGTGCGAGGGCCCGTGACCATCGACGTTGAATTCTGCGCCTGGGACCAGCTCCTGAGCGGGATGGTCCCACAGCAGGCCTGGATGGTGGCAGGGCCTCTGTTTGACATCAAGGCCGAGCCGGGGGCCATGGTGGCTGTGTACCTCCCCCACTTCGTGGACCTCCGAGGTGAGCACGGGGGGAGGGGACAGAGGGGGCTTGGGAGGGGAGGGGTGTCCTGGGGGAGGAGAGCGGGGCTTCCTCAGAGAGACGGGAGCGCCGTGCTCTGGGCGGCTCTATTTTTTTGAAGCATTTTTGTCTCCCAGCTTCATAATCCTTCTTGCCCAAATGACTCGGAAGTTTCCCTAAATAGAAAGCATTCTCCCCGCTAACTCTAATAACTGGCATCTACAAAGTGCTCTTTACCCAGATTGTGTCCCTCATGGTCCCAGCAGGAAACAGGCCACGTGCTCGGAGGTGGTTTTTGAAAAGACAGGGCTATTTACAAAGTGAGGGGAAATTAACTAAGGGGGCTGTAGGGGGTCCCCAGGGACTAACACCCGAGGGGGAGCATGACTCTCCCCAAAGGCAGGGCGGAGACACCAGAGCCAGGAAGGAAGGCTTCCCAGGAGGATACGGAGTCATAAAGGGTAATGTACCTTTCCCGACCTCTCTCACCTCCAAAGACTTCCTCCCCACAAAGTCCCGACAACCATGAGCGCACAGTCAGGAATCTCCCACGCGGTGAACAGGGAACCGCAAGCGAGAACCGGTGGAAACGGCAGATCCCAGAATCGGCCCCACAAAGACTTCAGATATTGAAACCATCAGACAGAGCACGTAAAGTAACTGTGTTTCACGTGCTTAAAGAGAGAGTCCTTAAAATACACGCGAGAAGCACGGCGCCATTGCCAAGGGTAAAGCAAGCTCGGAAGCAAACTAAATTTCAGAAAATATTTAAAAACGTAAAAAATAAAGATTCGGTGACATGGAAGAGACCGTAAGAAAGCCCAACACACACGTCTAATCGGACAGGACGGAGAAGGTGCAGAGAAATGTTCGAAGAGAGACTTGCCAAGAAATTCCTCCAGTCGCCGGAAGATGTGACTTCGTTCTCAGGATGAAAAAAAATCCCAAGAATCGAAAAGCAGGAGAGAGAGAGATGCCCAGGAAGGTGGGGCCGCCAGGCTGACCACTGATTTCCGAACGGCGGCTCTGGACGTGTGTTCCCTCCTAACAACTGTCCATCAAGAAATTGCAAACACAGAAAAATCATTTTTCAAGAGAAGAGTACAGTTGTTGAAATGTTTAAAGCTAAACCAAAACCTAGGGAGCTTTCAGCAAACAAATCCTCGCGGGAGGAAATTCTAAAGGACACGCCTCAGGCACAGGGAAGGGGTGGGGCGCGGCACGGACCGCTCACAGAGATGCTAAGACACGTGTGGGTAAATCTAACAAAACGGGGCCCGCAGAACGTGACCATAATGTCTGGCGGTGGGGGTAGGATTTGAAAGAGGGAAAGAACGGAAATGCCGACAACATGGCAAATAAGTATTAAAGAATTCTAAGGTCTTTGTGAGGCGGCACCGGTGTTGCTCTCCGGGTTAAAATGGTCAGGAAGGAAGACTTAGCCACAAATACCATAAGCAGCAGGATGGGGGGCGCCAGGAGCAATGTGGTCGGCAGGGGCCACGGCTCTCTGCCGTGGGCCACGTGGCCGTGGCAGGTACACACCCAGCCAGTGCCGGGTGCCTGGGACCTGGTGTCTGTGGATTTAATGAGCAAGTCAGAAGAATCTGATGCCATGCCCCACGTCCCATCATGACTCAGACAGGGGTTTCATTTAATTATGATCGATGATTTGATGAACAGTTTGTGTTACAGCTGATACCGGGGGGTAAACCCTCTCAGGATGTGTAGGGTTGAGTTAGAGCATGAAGGGGGGTGTGGTTTTCGTGAACCATTTATCTATTGGCTGGTAGATTCGTTCATAGTGATGTCCCAATAGTTAAATATATTTAGGTAAAGGCGTGGATTTACTTTAGACTTTAAGTACACACATTAAAATATTAGGATCATCAATCAAAGAACATACGTGTAAGAAGAATCACTGACAAACTAGTAGCAAGAAAAGGATGGAAAGGAAAATGAGAAGCAAAGAACTTGGCCAGTTCTGGGGATCTGGGGCGGCATGGATCATTCTCAAAAATGGTGGAAAAATGGGGGTTCTCCAGCATCACTGTGTTCAGGCAAATCGATCTGAGATGATTTTCTTCTCTCCTTGAAGTAAGCTACTTAGAGATGTCTGTGTGAGCCCCGTCAAAGAATTCGTTCACGGGTCCTGGATTTAATCCCGCTGCTGGGGTGGTAAGGCCTAGGCTGACCTCGGTGGCTTTTCTGATAGAATCCCTCCCTCAGGGCCCTTCTAGAAGGCAGGCAGTTCTCGTCCAAGTGATGAGATCAGTACAGACTGAAGCCTGAAGCCATGCACTCACCCTGGTCCAGACCGTTGTCTCGGAACGGTGGGGAGGAAAGGGGTCCCATGGAGCCCGTGATCCCCTGGACTGTGGTGGGCTGTCTGAATGCCGGGGCAAGTGAGCCCCAGCAAGGTGGGGAACTTGGAGAGCAGGGGAGGAGGAAGAAGGCCCAGATGGGAGCATGACTCGAGGGTCCTTGATGGGAAGAGACTGGCATTAGTCAGGAGTCCTGGCTCTGTCCCTGGTTTCCTAGCAACTGTTGCTGAGCAGGTGGTTGCTAGGCAACGTGGGGCCATCCAGACAGTTGGGGGAGGTCCTCAGTCTGCGTGGGCACTGAGCAGAACATCCATCGCAGGGCATTGTGAATCCTGAGAGCGGCCCCTTGGTCCATTACTTAGATTTTCTCATCTATTAATTGCTTTGGTTGCTCAAAGAATAGTATAACAATGGTACGTGAAGTCTGGGAAAAGGAGAAAGCAATCACCCCAGGATCTCGCCATCCAAACAATGCAAAAAGGATCATCTTCACCTTCCCAGTGCTAGCCTTTCTCTGCAGGAATACTTTCGCACCGTGTTGCCGTCCTAGCCCATGTGGTTTTAAACCTTGCCTTTCCGACTTTGATTTACATCACCGCGAGGACCCGTCAAGAGTCTTCAGAATACCTCTGCGTGAAGACTGCACAGGGTTCCACCCAGTGGGCGCACCATCACTGAATTCCCTCTGTCCCCCTGTTCCAACACTGAGTTTGCTTCCAACAATCTTTGTGCCATGATGAGCAATACTACAATAAACATCTTTTTGCAGAGAACTTTTCTTTATTCTTAGAGCCTTGTCTCTAAATCAATAGTTTAAGGGGCTAGAGGATCCTAGCAAAGGACGTGAATATCCGCGTGACTTTCTAGGTCTCGCCCTGTCGCTTCCCTCAGAGGTGGTACCCTCCGTGTTCTCAGCACTGACCACGTTCAAATGGACCGATACCTCACCTGCCACCGTACTATCCATTCCTTCGCTTGTTAATGGGGAGACATCTTGGAGAGAAAGGGTTGGCCCAAAGTCACACGCCCAGCACTAACGTTAGTTCTAGGTCAGGGGGCCTCACCCCCGTCCGGAACGTCAACACAGCCGGCTGTCTGTGGCGCGACTGAGTTCGGGAATGTCCTGTGCCTCTCCTGAGTCACTACCAGGTGCTCTTGAGCCAGCCCACCGGCTATAGAGCGATTCTTACCTCTCCCAAACTCTTTGAGAGTGCGTTGTGTGGACAATCTATTGTGGACGGGAAAGAGAAAAGTACTTGGAAGGGCGCCTGGGTGGCTCAGTCGGGGATGCGTCTGCCTTCGGCTCAGGTCATGATCCCGGGGTCCTGGGGTCGAGTCCCGCATCGGGCTCCCTGCTCAGCCAGGAGTCTGCTTCTCCTTCTGCCTCTGCCTCTCCCCTGCTCATGCTCTCTCTCTTTGTTTCTCTCAAATAAATAAATAAAAGCTTTTAAAAAAAGAAAGAAAAGAAAAAGAGAAGTACTTGGAAAGCCCTGGTCTGAAGGAGAGGACCTTTGGGAGTAGCTGGTCAAGGAATCATTGGCACCAAGACCCGGCCCTGGGGCTGTCTTTGGCTGGTCTCAGAAATATTCAAGGTAACGCATCACACAGTAGAACTGTTTCTGTGGCAGGGTTTGGGGCCAGGGCCCCACACCCCACATGGTCCTCGGGTTCCTGGCGCTCGCGGTCACGTGCAGGGAAGGAAAGGACAGATTCGGGCTCTGGCCCGGAAGCCCACCGACTCCATCCTCACTTCCTGGCCAGGCCTGAGCGGAGGCCTGGGGGCTCCCTGTCCTCCAACATCCCTGCTGGCTGGGTGGTCCACGCACGAAGGCTCTCGTGAGCTGCTGGGAGCACAAGGGCTCAAGAAGAGACACAGGACCTACTTGTTGAAAGAGTCTTGGTCACTACCTACCCGTCGCTGGGCCCTTAGAGAAGCTGCGAGTCAGAGTCCTGTCTAGGGTGAGAAAGCCCAGCGCGGAGAGTTAGTAACCACGTGGGCTCCCACAGTGGACATCAAGGGCCGGGCAGGGTGTGAGTGGGGCCAGCATCATGGGTCACTTGCACATGCCCCCCCACTTGGGGCTCCATGCTTGGTCACTGGCTTGAAATCCTTAGTAATTTTGTCTTTGTGTTTTGGGAGTGAAGTGCATGGGACAACGGAGCGGGAGCAAGGGAGGAAGTGCAGGGTGGGGAAGCAGGGAGGCTTAGAGCCTCAGCTCACATGGGGTCTTGCATCCCCTAGGTGGGTTCTTGGCCACCTGCTCCCCTGTCCCCATACAGCCTGGGCTTCTCTGCGCCTGCTCAGCAACCCCACTGCCCGCCACCATGAGCGGGGGGAGCAGGGGGGGCACAGCACCTGTGCAGTCCTAGAGCGGGGCATGGCACGGGGTCCGAGCCTTAGGGGAAAGCGCCCTGCTACATTCAGTGGGTGACAGCCCTCCCCCACTCCTGGCCCAAGGACATTCCCTTGCGGGGGGGGGTGGCGGGCACAATACACTGTGAGATTTTCTGTCTTCTGTGGGCTGTGGGGGGCGGGAGCCCATGAGGAGAAGAGATGCCTGGTTTGGTTTCCCAGTTCCCAGCCAGCTGGGCCCGCAGGAGGGAGAATCCACAGTCGGCTCAGACACACTCATGGTTCCCAGGATGACAAACAGCAGGGCTCCTGGAAGGCCCCCTCCCCCGCTCCCCTCCCCCACCCTGCGTTCTCCCCCACCATATGCTCCTCCCATCCTGAGCCCCCCCCACAAAACCCCTTTCCCCACCACCCCACACTCATCACCACCCTGCAACCCCACCCCCAACCTCCACCCAGGGCTCCCGTCGCAACCCCACCCCCCAACCTCCACCCAGGGCTCCCGTCCACCCCACGCTCCCTCCATCCTGAGCACCCCCCAGGCACCCCAACCCCACCCCCCTACCCCCAGCTCCCCAGCCACCCTGGGCTCCCCCCTCCTCTACCCCGTACTCTCCCCCACCCTACATTCCCCCTACTTCTGCATCCCCCCCACACCCACACACACACACTCAACCACCAAAGCTTGTTTCCTCAGGTGGGTACGAGCATCGTGAGCTCAAAGTGATCTTGAGTTTTGCCTCT